TGTAAAAGTTATATTTTTTGCGACTTTCAAAGCATGTTTGTTAGGTGTCTAGGGGTTATAGATGCAGAGACTGGTGTTTAAAAGACTTCGGAGAGATGGGTAGTTGATCATCTCATGTTTTTTTGCGTATAAATGTTACTCCTTTTACCGATTTTCAAAGCATGTTTGCATGTTATATAAGGGTTAAGATTGCAGACACTGAAATACATATGAAAACAAATACCTTGAAAAAAGCCTAGGAGAGTGATGTCACACTTCCCGCCTCCCGCCGCGACCCCTTCAGGTTTCGGGCTGCTGGAGTCGGGCGCCGTGTCCATGAAGAACGAGGCAAACATCATGGTGAAGAACGTGGTGGACGTCGTCCTCGGGGGCATCACCTACTGGCTCTTCGGGTACGCGCTGTCCTTCGGCGAGTCGGAGTGGACGAACCCCTTCTGCGGGTGGGGCGGCTTCGCTCTCAACCCCAGCGAGGAGGAGATGGGCAAGGTCTACACCACCTTCTTCTTCCAGCTCTCGTTCGCCACCACCGCCACCACCATCGTCTCCGGCGCCGTCGCGGAGAGGTGAGTGAGGGGGGGGGGGGGGCAGTTGGCTTGGGCTGTGAGGGGGGGGTGAGGAGGAACCGGAGGCTGTGAGGGGGAAAGGGTAGGGGGAACCGGAGTCTGGGTTAGGGGTGGGGAGTTGCGTGAGGGCGTGCAGAGCAGTGCCATTGCATGCCTCGGGAGGATTAGTAATGATAAGATAACAGAATGAACTGGTAAAAGAATAAAAATCTCTCCTCTCGATGCCCCCACGCTATCTTTTCCCCCGTGACCTGAAAAAAAACAAAACAATCGCCCATTTGTTCCAGGTTCAACTTCGTCGCCTACGTCATCTTCTCCGCCGTGAACACCGTGGTCTACTGCCTGCCGGCGGGCTGGCTCTGGGGCTCCCACGGCTTCCTCTACCAGCTCGGGGTAGTCGACATCGCCGGCTCCTGCGGCGTGCACCTCTGCGGGGGGTCGTCGGGTGAGTCTGCGGGGGGGGAGGGGGGGAGGGGGAGGGAGGGAGGGGAGGGATGGGGGAGGGGGGGAGGTAGGTGGTCGTTTCGTAAAATCTAGGTCTCGTTTTAGTATAAGGATTGGTGATATATCATTATCTTAGAGTGTTATGGATAGGTTCTAATGTATTTTTTTTCTCTCTCTCTCTTTTCTCATCGCATTCCTCCCCTCCCCTCTTCTCCGCTCTTCCTTCTTTTACCTCCTTCCTCCCCCTCCCCTTTTTTCATCGCATTCTTCCCCTCCCCTCTTCCCCTTCCTTCCCCCTCTTGAAACCTTCCTATCCCCTCCCTTTTCCTTATCGCATTCCTCCTCTTCCCTCCCCTTCCTTCCCTTCCCCTCCCCTCCCCTCTTCTTCCCTTCCTTCCCCTCCTCTTCCCTTCCCCTCTCCTCCCCTCCCCTCCTCTTCCCCTTCCCCCTCCCCTCCCTCCTCTTCCCTTCCCCTTCCTTCCCCCCTCTTCCCCTTCCCCCTCCCCTCCCCTCTTCCCCTTCCCTCCCCCCCTCCTCTTCCCTTCCCTCCCCTCTTCCCTTCTTCCCCCCTCCCCTCCCCTCCTCCCCTCTTTCCCCTCTTAACCCCCCCCTTTCCTTCCCCCTCCCCCAGCCCTAATCGCCTCGAAGCTCGTGGGTCCCCGCATCGGGCGCTACGACGACGGCGAGGACCCTCTGCCGATGGGGTCGCCGACGAACGCGATCCTGGGGATGTTCATGCTGTGGTGGGGCTGGCTGGGCTTCAACTGCGGCAGGTTAGGAGGAGGAGATTTTTATTTGTCTTTTCTTTTCTTTTCTTTTTTTCTTGCTTATCTATATTTATTGTTTGTCTATTTTATTATCTATTTATTTTTTAAATTTATTTTTCATTTCTATTATCTGTTTTTATTTTTTATTTTTTATTTTTTTTTTTGGCCGCGTTGAGATCTCACTTTCTGATGGTCTTTCTTTAATTGTCATTATTTTTTATTTATTTATAAATGATAATAATTATTATTATTGTTGTTGTTGTTGTTGTCATTATTATTATCATTATTGTTATTATTATTATTATTATTATTATTATTATTATTATTATTACTATTCTAATTTTCGCTTTCGGGTTTTTTTGTTGTTTTTTTTTTGTGGGGGGGTCTTCTCGTGTTTTTCTTGTTTCTTTCTTTCTCTCTTCAGTTATTGGAGTTTCTGGCTTATCACTTCTTTCTGTTTTTCTTTGTCTTTGATATATAATTTTTCTTTTTTCTTCTTTTTTTCTTTTCAGTTTTCTTTCTGGGGCTTTTTCGTTCGTCCCTTTTTTTCTATATTAATCTTCTTTGCTTATTATATCTTATTATTGTTTAATTTCTTCGACAGTGTTGTTTTTATTTGCATTTGCTTGACGCCTTAATACGGTTAAAGATTAATAATCATAATGAATATCAATAGTACATAATCTATATAAGTAACAGTGATTATATAAGTTATAATAAGTAATGTCATAATAATATCAATAATGTTAGTCTATATAAGTAATAATGATTTTGTAAGTTATAACAAGTAATATCAGAATAATATCAATAATACAGAATCTATATAAATGATAAAAATTGTATAAATCACAATAAAAATATAATTCATAATCATGAACACTGTTACAACCAATACTTAGCCTCCCTCCCCCCCAAAAAAAAAAATCCAACACCCCCTCCACCCCCCACCCGCACACACAACCACACGCTCTCTAAACCCCCTTTCCCCCCTCCTCCCCCACCTCTCCCACCCACAGCACCTTCGGCATCACGGAAAACAAATGGAAATACGCCGCCCGCACCGCCGTCACTACCCTTCAGGCGAGCATCGGGGGCGGCTTGGCGGGGATGAGCCTTTCGTGGTACAAGAACCATAGGCTGGAGATCGGGGACGTCGTTAACAGCGTTCTAGGGGCGCTTGTTAGCATCACGGGTGAGTGGGGGAGGGGAGGGGAGGGGAAAGGGGAGGGAAGGGTTGGGAGGAAGGGGGAGGGGGAGGAGGGAAGGGGTGGGAAGGGGAGGAGTGAGGGAGAGGGAGGGGGTGGGATGGGGTGAGGGGGAGGGGAAAGGGTTGGGGGAGGAGAGGGTCTCTCTTTCTTTCTCTCTTTCTCTGTCTCTCTTTCTCTCTCTCTCTCTCTCACTCTCTCTCTCTCTCTCTCTCTCTCTCTCTCTCTCTCTCTCTCTCTCTCTCTCTCTCTCTCTGCCTCTCCCTCCCTCATTTCCCCAACACCTCTGCATGAAAATAAATGAATAATCAAACCAATAAATCAATAAATAAACCAATAGATTAAAATCAAGTAAATGAAAATAAATGAAAATAAATCAGTAAATCAAACCAATGAAATCAATAAATAACCACCACATTCCTCTCTCTCTCCCTCCCCCCACCCCCACCCCAGCCGGCTGCGCCCTCTTCACCACGTGGGAGGCCCTCTTCATCGGCATCGTGGGCGGCCTGATCGCTGTCCTAGCGATGCCCCTCTTCGACAAGCTTCACATCGACGACCCTGTGGGAGCGACGTCCGTGCATGGTGAGTCGCGAGTCGTGTGTCGTGAGTCAGGGGTTAGGGGTTGGGGGGATGAGGTACGAGTTAGGGGTTAAAGGGGTGGGTCACGAGTCATGAATTATAAGTCAGGGGTTTGAAGGAGTGAGTCACGAGTCATGAATTCTGAGTTGGGGGTTGAAGGGGTGAGTCACGAGTCACGAATCATGAGTTGAGGGTTGAAGGGGTGAGTCACGAGTCACGAATTATAAGTCAGGGGTTTGAAGGAGTGAGTCACGAGTCGCGAATCATGATTTGGGGGGTTGAAGGGGTGAGTCACGAATCATAAGTTAGGGGTCGAGGGAGTGAGTCATGAATCATGAGATGGGGATTGAAGGAGTGAGACATGAATAATAAGTCAGGGGTCGAGGGATTGAGTCACGAGTCACGAATCATGAGTCAGGGGTCGAGGGATTGAGTCACGAGTCAAAGGAATGAGTCTCACGGAATCAAAACGGCTGATTAAATGTCCACGGTGATCAGCTCTCTTCGAGTCGCGAATCACGGTTTGATAAAAGAGACTCAGGGAGTCGAAAAGGCTGATTTGGATCTGAGTCATAAAGAGTAGGTATTCACAGGAAGAAGAATTAGACTCGTTTGTAATAATATTGATAATGGATATAAGAATAATAGTAATGATAATGATGATGATGATGATGATAATAATTATAATAGCATTGAAAATGATAATGATAATAATGTTGATAATATCAACAATGATAATGTTAACAATAGCAATTATAATAACAATATTAATAATAATAATAATGACAATAATAATAATAATAATAATAATAATAATAATAATAATAATAATAATAACAATAGTAATAATAATAATGATAATAATAGTAATGATAATCATAAAAAATGATAGTGATGGTGATAATAATAATAATAGCGATAATGATAATAAAAATGATAATACTAATAATGATAATAGTAATAATAATAAGAATAACAACAACAACAATAACAACAATAGATATAACAATAATGATAATAATAGTAACAATAATGATAATAATAATGATAATAATGGTAATAATAATAAAAAATAATTTTGATGATTAATGATAAGGATAATGAAAATCATGATAATAAATGAAATGATGATGATGATGATGATGATAATAATAGTAATAATAGTAATAATGATAATAATAATGATGATGATAAGAACAATAATAATGATTATAACAATAACAACAATGATGATAATCATAAGAGTGATGATGATAATAATAATAATGGTAATAGTAATAATGATAGTAGTGATAAGGGTAATAATGATAAAGACAGTAATAATAATAACAATAATGATGATTAATAATAATAATAATAATAATAGGGGTATCATTAATAAAAATAAAGATAATAAGAAATAATACTAATAAAATACTAATGCTCATACTATTACTAACAGAAGCAATAATAACAACAATAACGATAATAACAATAATGATAGAAATAATGATTTAATTGTTTCACTTCTAGGCCTATAAGATAACATTTCTTTATTAACTTACTCGTTTCACTTCTAGGCCTATGTGGAATCTGGGCGATGATCTCCATAGGCCTCTTCGTCAAGGCGGATTCTCTCCTCGGCATGACAGGAGGCAAGGCTGGTCTCTTTCGGGGTGAGGATAGTGCTAAAATTTTCTTCGTGAGGTTGATGGTGTTGTAGTCATAATGAAGTTGATAATGATGGTTGTGTTTGTTAATGTGTTTATTATTGATTGTTCTTATTTGTATTATTGATATCGTGTCTGTTATTGTTTTTTTTTTAGTTGATAATGATGGTTGTGTTTGAATGTGTTAATGTGTTTATTAATGTGCTTGTTTTCAGCTGTTCTTATTTTAATTGTTGATATCGTGTTTGTTATTGTTATCTTTATTTTCATTGTTGTTTTCGTGTTTATTAATGTTATTTTCATTTTATTGTTGAGATTGTGTTTATCATTGATATGTTTATTAGTGTTATTATTACATGTATTCATCATTGTAATTGTATTTATTATTGTTATCCATATGTATAATCATCATTGTTATCGTATCTATCAGTGCTATTTTTACCATTATTATCTTTATTTCTGTTTCATTATTATCGTATTTAACACTGTCACATTCATTATTGTTATCCTTTTTCGTATTTATCATTAGTGTCACTATCCTATTCATCATTTTCATTCATATATTCGTCATTATCATCGTTTTATCATTTATTCATCATTGTTATCATTATTCATATTTATCATTATTATCATCTTTAGCATCATCATATCCATCCATCGCTATCCTTATTTACAAATATCCTTATCATCGCATTCATCATTATCACATCTATCCATCTTATTCCAACCAATCTTATCCTATCCAATCCTAACTTATCCTATTCAGTCCTATCTTATTCCAACCAATCTTATCCTATCCAATCCTAACGTATCCTATCTTATCCTATCCTGTCCTATCATATCCTATCCTGTCCTCTTATCCAATCCTATCCTAACTTATCCTATCCTATCCTATTTTATCCTCTCCTCTCCTATCTTATCCTACCCTATTTTCCCCTATCCTATCCTTTCCATTCCTATCTTATCCTATCCTATCTTCTCCTATCCTTTCCCATCCATTCCTATCCTATCTTATCTTCTCCTATCCTATCCTATCCAATCCTATCCTATCTTCTCCTATCCTTTCCCATCTTATCCTATCCTTTCCCATCCATTCCTATCCTATCTTATCTTATCCTATCCAATCCGATCCTATCCAATCCTATCTTATCCTACCCTATTTTCCCCTACCCTATCCTTTCCATTCCTATCTTATCTTATCCTATCCTATCCTATCCTATCTTATCCTAGCCTATCCCATCCATTCCTATCCTATCTTATCCTATCCAATCCTATCTTATCTTCTCCTATCCTATCCTATCCAATCCTATCTTATCTTCTCCTATCCTTTCCCATCCATTCCTATCCTATCCTATCTTATCCTATCCTATCCAATCCTATCCTATTTTATCCTATCCTATCCCATCCATTCCTATCCTATCTTATCCTATCCAATCCTATCTTATCTTCTATCCTATCCTATCCAATCCTATCTCATCCTATCCTTTCCCATTCATTCCTATCCTAGCCTATCTTATCCTATCCAATCCTATCTTATCATGATTTCTTGTTTTTTATCACTAACTTATGCTCATTTCTTCTTCCTCGCAGGCGGTGGTTTCTACCTCCTCGGCGTGCAGACTCTAGCTTGCGTTGTGACCTCCGTCTGGTCTATGTCTATCACCTACATGCTGCTTACGGTGGGGCCTGTGTGTGTGTGTGTGTGTGTGTGTGTGTGTGTGTGTGTGTGTGTGTGTGTGTGTGTGTGTGTGTGTGTGTGTGTGTTCGTGTGTGTGTGTGTGTGTGTGTGGAGGGGGTGGGGGTTATTGGTGTTTAAGTATGTGTGTGTATGGAGGGGAGAGGGGGAGGTTAAAGAGTGTGTGTGTGCGGGGGGGGGGGGTAAAGTCTGTAGGCCGTGTATTTGTTTGTGTGCGTGGAAGGGTGTGTGTGTGTGTGTGTGTGTGTGTGTGTGTGTGTGTGTGTGTGTGGAGGGGGTGGGGGTTATTGGTGTTTAAGTATGTGTGTGTATGGAGGGGAGAGGGGGAGGTTAAAGAGTGTGTGTGTGCGGGGGGGGGGGGTAAAGTCTGTAGGCCGTGTATTTGTTTGTGTGCGTGGAAGGGTGTGTGTGTGTGTGTGTGTGTGTGTGTGTGTGTGTGTGTGTGTGTGTGTGTGTGTGTGTGTGTGTGTGTGTGGTGGGTTAAAGTGTATGTGTCTATGCGTGTGTATGCATATATACCTGTAAGCATATATACCTATACGCATGTGTCATACACATACATATATAATCTGTGAATGACATCTCACCCACCCC